AGCATCTTGGCAACAAAGATTATCCCAACAATGTCTTATGTATTGTTTAGTCGTCAAATTGACCGAAATATATCAGAAGCTGGTTTCCAAAGAAATGGAGACTTGTGTGGACAACACCAAGCCTGTCATCTAAAACAGCAGAGCATTAACAGAATATGAATTTTCAATGAGGTAGGTAACAAAAGCAGCCATTGGGGTCCGTGGAGTAAGAATTGAAACAAATTTTCTAACTAAATTAGTCATAAACATAAGTGTGTGTGTGTGTGTGTGTGTGTAAGCAAGCTAAATTCAGGGTTTTGGGAAGCTCTGGTGATTCAATCTTGATGGAGAAGGTACTCATGTATTACATCCAGCATACCTCTAACTTGTTGCCTAGCTGCTGGTGAACTGGATCTGAGCTGACCAAATATTCTTCACACTGCTTTATTGCACTGTGCAAATCACGTAAGTGGCCCCACTTTGGCTGTCTAATAAAACCTGCATTAGATAAACAGCCACGAGGTATTCTGTATCAGTTTGAAACTACAGCTTTATCTCGGATAAATATTGCCTTGCAAAGCGCTAAAAAAAATATGATTCTGATATAATTAGACAAGAGATGTAATTAAAAGGATTCTTATCACTAACACAGGTCAACTGCAAAGTATATGCCAATTGACTTAATTCTATCCTAAAATGGTCAGAAACATCATGGTGATGATGCAGATTACAGTGAACTGAAAAAGGTGACCATGAAAGTGACTCTTGCACAGGACCAATGTATCTACTGTGTGCAAAGACAATGATAAGATTGTAGCTCAGCAGATTGATTTACTGGTTAAATGGAATAATTTACTTGGGGGTGCATCGACTTAGGGATCTTTTTAAGCTGAGATAAATCAGTATATCCATTTTCAAAAATTTTACCATATTCATCTATCGGGGCATCGTAATCATAGCTTGTTGCAACCAAAGGACCTCCCGCAGTTCGTCCAAAGTTGGTTCCACCAAAATACTGCAAATAAATATCAGCACAGAGGAGAGAAATGGAAATGAGAGGTGCATAGCTGTGTTATGACATTAGGTTCGCTTAATGTAAAAAACAGAATAGGAGAAGCAGAACATATTACGGCCTCACCATATAATAGTTTTGAAAAGAACCTCCATACTCAAAAAATCGTGCAACAGCGAATGCTAGGTCCTCAACAGGTCGATAAGGAACTGCATAGCCAAATGCAAGAAACCTGCAACGTTGAATAGGACATAGGACATCTTATTCTTCAGACTTCTCTGAATAACCAGAGCCTTGAATCATTCTTGATCTTCTCTCACAAGGAAACAATTAAGCTAAATCAGCTCTGGATTATTACCATCCACTATAGTTCTCAGTCCACATTTTTGGTTTGGAAGGGGAATTTGGGGTAAACTGGTCACAGTAAAATCCATTGCATGTGTTTATCTGCAATGAAATGATAAACACACGAGCAAGAACAAATACAAAGCATGTTATAGTCCGAAGTTGCTATAAGCTGTTCAAAATACACCTGCAGAAAAAAAAAAAAAAAAAAAAGGGGATTTGTTATCAATTTAATCATACAACTGGATCAGGAGCATCTTCTTGTACGCACATCACCCAAGGTACAGTTGTGTTCAGACTAATAGCAGTTTCAGCAGCCCATTTGACATATAATTCTCCACCAACACCATATGCCCATTGAACATTTCCATATTCATTCTCAACCTGTCACAGCACACGCGGGACATGAAATCAACAAGACTTTCTTGTTGCACAACATAATATAGTGCTGATTTCATAAACAGAAGTGGCTAACTTATACATATGTCTGAGCTTAACAATAGCGCGTCCTGAAAGAATTTTCAACTAGAAACCAAGAAAAGATTAAGATCTAAGAAGTGTCAAAAGTCCTCACACAGAGCAGGATATTCACAAAGACAGTACATGTCTTTTGTAGAATGAAAAATTATGATTCTAAGTTTCTACAATTAATAAATAGAAATAGAATATTGGTCAACCACCTGAGCAAGAATGATTGGTCCTCCTTGTGATGCAAAAAGATTTTCATCCTTCATTAGATCGACAATTTTTGTCAGAAAACTCTTCATTGCATTCTGCAGGGACAATGATGCATCATGTAACTTATTGGAAAAGATTAAACTAATCAGCAGCAGTAACATTATTACTATTAAATGCATCATCAACATCATCATCAAGATAATAATGTACCTTAAATATATCATTACTTGTTCGAAACTGAACCCCAGGAATGAAATGTAACCAAAGTGGGAAACCCCTGTCATAATAAATTAAGGGAACTCAAAAATAATATTGATGCTAAACTAGAAAGAAACTGCCTGAATAATTTTGGAGCAGATTACTTATGATGATGTTTCTTGACAATTATCCTGTATCATGAGGAGCCTTATGGTCATTGTCTATGTAGTGTACAGACATTATGCAGCACATTGATGAAATGCAGCAGCACAAACACGCTTTCAAACTTTCTAATTTGTTAAAATAAATAAGGAATAGAGAGGCATACAAAGTGTGGAAACAGAAAAGGAGGAGTGTTAAGACTGAAAGAGGGGAATTGAATCAGAAACAGACCCATAATTCCATTCAGCACAGGCATATGGGCCAATCCTCAGATGAACAAAAAGACCAGCTTCCTGAACCGTTTTCACAAACCGCACTAAATCAAACCGGCCTCCAAAGTAGTACTGTAAAAACCAAAGAAATCATCAACACCCCCGACAAATTAAGACAATAGAATCAATAACCAGTTGTCCCAAATTTCAAAACAATCAACAGGCACACAATTGCTACTAAACAAACACTGAAACATGCATGCAGACTACTGACTAAAATCATCATTCTGTATAACCGATCACACTTCCTATCCATCTAATAATGCATTAAATTAATCCAAAAAAAATAATGCATTAAATTCACGAAACAAACTCAAGGGCTAGCACATTACCTGTCCTCTCACAGGCTCATGATAGTTCCAAAACACGTAAGTCTCAATCACATCCAGCCCCCCTTCCTTTGATTTCCTAATAATTTCTGGCCACACCTGAAATCCCGTCTCCGACAAACACATTACATTTTATCACACGTTACAACATCATATGACCAACGAAACCACTCAAAACAGCACACATGCAATTGAGAAAATACCAAGAACCCACCTCAGGAGTGGTTCGAGGATAATGAATAGAACCAGACTGCAAAACCCTTCTCTTTCCATCAATCACCAGAGCTTTGTGATCATACGTCACTGTAACACACCACACTCTTTCAACCCAAAAACATTGAAAAACTAAAACAACAAGCAAAACCAATGCTAAACAAGAACTCTTGCATCCCATAATACCACTGGTCATAAAACTATGGAACTAGGAGAAGTGAACCACTTTTGCTCCTTAAAGTGATCGAGCAATGTAAAGAGGAACATTACCAAGAAAGGAAGATATAGATTCTGGGTTTTGTTTGTTTCCTTTCATTTTTTTGAACTGAAAAGGAGGAATAAGTAAAGAACGTTTTTTAAGGAGGAGAATCTTGTACGTTCATGATTATCCAAACGGCATTTACAAAGCTTTGTTTTGTCCAGCGATGATTGTGAAAGGAAGAGAGTTTTTTCGAAAGAGGATACAATGAGACGATAAAGAAATTGATGAGAAAGAGACATTTTGGAAGTTCTTGAGCGGCGACATGCGAGATTGCCCTGTTTCTTGCTTTTGGCAGTTTCGATTGACGGTGTGTTATAGCGCCAAAGGCTAGGTGGGTTGTCCACGTTCATGAGTGTTCAAAAATTAAGGGGGTGTTTGGCGTATTCCAACTAGAGTTTTTAAAATTTCTCTCTCCAGCCATGCGAAAGCCTCCCATGCACAAATATTCCCCGTACAAATCTCCATGCATTCTCTCTCCAGCAATCTCCGCATGCAAATCTCTATACATTCTCTCTCCAGCCTAGACGACTGGAGTGTCGGCCATTGGCCTGGCCCGACAACTGACCTTGGATTTGTCAGGAATTTAATACTCCTAACAAATATCTATTGATATTTTATTAATTATTTTTTTAATTTATTTAATAAAACACGTACAAAGACAAAAGAGATGATAAAATTCATAATTCATCAAAAATTATAAAATTATCTCAGCCTAAAATTTCTTTCTCCCTATCTATTTTTTAAAAAATAAACTAAAAAATAATTAATAATATATCACTAATTACTCTTTAAATACCATAAAATCTCGAGTTCTGATTAAAAATATTTTTTTTAGTTTAAATAATACTGTTTCAAATAAAAAATTTAAATCAGACTTGGGGTTGATCCCGAACCTACAAATCAACTTACAAAATTCACTTAATCCCTGTTTTAAAGTGTTGTTAAAATTGCTTTTAGAAGATTTTTAAAATTATGCTTGGTATGAAAAAATATTAAATTAATATTTTTTAGTGTTTTTTAATAGTTTTAATGTATTAATATTAAAAATAATTTTAAAAATTTTAAAATATATTTTAAAAATTTTCATCGCCAGAGTATCAAATAAAAACTAAATTAGAGTATCAAATAAAAACTAAATTATGGCTCAACAACCATATGTTGACTAACAGTTTCGTCTCTGACGATCCACCAGTCCTCTTTAATTCCCAGTTTCCTTTGAAACAGGTCCTTAGCCCTTCTTCACCACAGAAAGATAAAAACAAAAATAGTGAAAACGAAAGAAATCTCTCCCGTTTGTCCTTTTTATCGCGAATCAAAAACACGAGAACATGGACTCGCAGACTGTGCTAGGTGTCGAGAACTGACTGGAGGCAAAATCTTGATCTTGATTGGCCTTATTTATTACTTCCCATCACGCTCTAAGTTTGTGAAATAATTAAAGAAACAAAACGTGGATTTTTTTTAACCGGTCATATGCGATCATTCGCTTGGAACAGTGATTTATGGTTTAGTTTAACTCCAATCATTGTATCTTCAAAAATATATAGGGGGTTCTCTTACAGTATCCCAGAGAAGCAGGAAAAGAAGACAGAAAAACTCAATCAGGAAAATCTCAGTCTCACTTCATCTTCTTGGTCCTGTAAGTGTTTCTTTTTTCTACGTTAAAGGAACCCCACAAACTTTATATTGCTCAGTTCTCTTAAGATTACACTGAGGTTGGTATCTTCTTGAAATGGTTGCTTTGGATCTTACTAGAATGTAGCTAATGGTTTGATTAAGAGGATTAGATTGCTGCGGCATCATGGGATTAATCAGTAGTTGTGCTTCATGACATTTTATACCTGCCATTATTAATGACCCTGAAAATGTTAACGTAAAAATGTTGATACATGTGTGCCTATTTGCATCTGCATATATGTGCATGCGTATGCATTACTGCCACAGTTATAGATTGATGAAGTTCCCAATATATCTCTGAATTCATTATCTCAAAAGGAACATACAAGCAAGCCAAACTTTGGTAATTGTGTTGGGTTATTGCTTTGTTTTTTAAAGGATTTATTTTCGTGACGGGCTTCAGTTGCTTCTAAAATTTTGTTCGTATATTAGATAGCTGAATTTTTCTTCTGAAACTAGAGGATTGCATTTCGGATGTGCCATCATCGGCAAATCTGTAACTGTTTACTGTAAATCTTGATACTTGTGTGCCTATTTACATGTGCATATATGCACGGATATGTATGTTACCCTAAGTTTGATGCATCAGTAAAGCTCACACATTTATCATCCACTGATATATCCTAAATTGATGTTTTCCAGTTGCAGATCTGAATGTGCAGTATAGAGGAATAGTAGTTGATTGCTTCTGCTATCACCATTTGCCACCTTGCAATTGCTTTAGAATTTAACTTATTGTTTCTCCTTTTATTATCTGACTTTGATCTGTTAAAGTAGCATTTGCTGCATTTATTCCTACCACTGAGAACTGGTAATAAAGGTTCTGATGGTTTGCTGATGTTCTTTTGTGGATTTTTGCTTCTCAGTTAGCTGTTTAATCATGGATTTCAGCAATATGGATCGTGGACAGATTACCCTTTTAGGGTGCGCGTTCTGTGTGCTGCTTACACTGCTCTTTACAGTGCAGCTCCTATCACAGCATCTGTTTTACTGGAAAAATCCAAAGGAACAGAAGGCCATAATAATTATTATCCTAATGGCTCCCATATATGCTGTTGATTCCTTTGTGGGTTTGTTGAATTTCCAGGGGAGTGAAGCATTCTTCACTTTTTTGGATTCAGTTAAGGAATGTTATGAGGCCTTGGTGAGTTTTCAATGCAATAATTGTGATTTAACTTTGATTTGTGGCTCCTTTCGCTTATGACAACAGTTCTAGTTTCTCATTTCTACTCTCAGGTAATTGCCAAGTTCTTGTCATTGCTGTATAGTTACCTGAAAATATCCATTAGCAAAAATATTGTGCCTGATGAGGTCAAAGGAAGAGAAATTCACCATGCCTTCCCAATGACACTTTTTGTGGTATGGAAATGATTTCTGCAGTTTATTTCCTGTTTATAATTTATAATATATAACAGTTACATGAGAGGAATGCTACCATTGACTTGTCTATCCAAGTTTTTAAGCACATTACGTTTATATAAAATGCAGCCTCACACGGTGCGGCTAGACCACCGTAATTTAGTAGTGCTCAAAAACTGGACATGGCAATTTGTCATCATTCGCCCAACATGTTCGATCTTGATGATAACTCTGCAAATGCTTGGCATTTACCCGAATTGGTTGAGTTGGATATTCACCATTATCCTCAACATTTCCGTTTCACTGGCTTTGTATTCTCTGCTAGTGTTTTACCATGTATTTGCAAAAGAGTTGGCACCACACAAGCCTCTTGCAAAGTTCTTATGCATCAAAGGGGTTGTCTTCTTTTGCTTTTGGCAGGTAAGTATCCTCCCCGTACTCATTCTGCTTCCTGTTCATCTTTCTCTCTCCCTCCTGCTTTGTTGTGCAAAGGTTGGGTGTGTGTTCTCAAGCCAAAGGTGCAAACCAAGCCCTCAAGGGCTCCAAGGGCACAAAAGGAGACCTAACAACCTGAAGCAAACCAACCAAATCTCCCTCATCCCAGATAGGATAGACAGGGAGAATATCTAGGTTAATCCGATCAAAAGGAATTCTACAATCTTTGAAGATTATGGCACCTTGTGCAAATATCATTTTCACGATTTATTTAAGAAGAAAATAGGTGGGCCTCTGCAAGTCACTTAAAACAGAACCATTCTAATGGGAAGCTACTCTATATGCTAGCTAAATCTTTTGCTTTGAGATGGTTCGGATTCAAGTTTTATTGAGATATTTGGTGTGAGTGGTTCAGATTTTAATTGGCTCGAATATATCAGATTAGTGCTTTCGATATGGATAAGTAACTGAAAAAAGATGGCTGTGGCTTGTTTGCTTGTGCCTTTAAATTTGAGATCAGGGCCATGCATATTTGATTAAATTCCATTTGGAGATTCTTCAAAGGCCTTGAAATAGAGCTGTGCAGTATAACTAATGCATTTTGTAGTTTTATGGGCCTATAGAATGCCTTCGGGAAACTCATTGTAAATGCTTTTTAAATCACCGCTAATCATTTGGACTGTCTAATCAGAGTTCCAGAACTGAGGAAGTGGGTTAACTTGTTCTCTAGAACAGATCAGGGGGTTATAGCTGTGGCTATAAGTGTCTAACTATATGTAGGTTTTTGTGTAGACTGTATATGCATCTCCAGATCACAGAGGATTGCAACTTCCTTCTGTCTTTCTCCCTTTCCCTGCTTTTGTCTTGCCCAGTTTTATTTATGGTGTCCTTTCACCTGTGTTATTTAACAGCACATGAATGCCATCGCTTGTCCATGAAGGCCTTTTTTTAACCATGTGCAGGGAATAGTGCTTGACATGCTTGTTTCGATGGGCATCATTCGGCCTAATCATTTTTGGTTGGATGTGGAGCACCTTGAAGAAGCTTATCAGAATGTCTTGGTAATTTTGGAGATGGTTGTCTTCTCTGTTCTCCAACGGTATGCATACCATGTTGCACCTTATAGTGGAGAAGTTGATACAAAGATGCTTAAGAAAAGTGAATGATATGACCGGAATTCTAGACCATGGAGGGCACATGCTAGAAAATGCACTTCCATAGGTCTGCTCTATACTTTAATGGAGTATGAAGTGTCTACCTTTGTTAATTATGTTGTGCCCTTTTTTCTCCCATTTCTCTCATGGCAATGTTGCTGTGTTGTCTGTTATGGACAAATTTGCTCATTTTCATAAATAAAGTTTTCTTCTGCCTACCACAGAAACTAATTCTAGTAAAATGTCGATACTGTATCTGGTCTCACATGCTTTCTTGGTTCTCTTTAATGCAATATAACTTTGAGACAGCCTGCGAGTAGGTTTGTTTGAAAGCGAGGCTGACAACAGAGATGAAAATGGGCACTTTGATTTATTCAAACTTGTACTACAACAAACTCATTGGGCACCTGGGACTTGCCATTTTATCTTAATCTCAATGATTGAGCTGTTGAAACTTTTCAGATTGCACAAGATTCTTAACTGTAGACAGCTTTTCGAAACCAAAATTGGCTTTGATTTCTGAGCTAATACTGGTTGGAAACATTGTGAAGGATTTCTGTTTGAGATTGGTGGCGCCAAGACAAGAGCAGTTGGAAAAACGCTACTGTTGGTCTTCTTCCTTATGAAGGCCTTTAATCATGCCTACAATACCCCGCAAATATTGGATATTGAATTGCAGTTGAGCTTCCTGCACCATGTCTTGTGATAGACAATTAGACACTTCTTGGAGAACTCCGACTCCTCTTTTTTGGGTTCAGAAAGACAAAAATTACACCTTGAGCTCAAGAAACCTCCATTACAATGTCATCTGACACAAGTCATCTAACAACTTCCATTGCGTTCAAATTGCCCATCAAGGTGGGGTTCTTCTGAACTTTCAAAGCATATTGTTTATACCATCCAATTATCACAGCACAGCTCTAGTTTTTTTCTCTTACAAGCTTTGTCTATGATTGAATATTCTAATCTAAATACTATGGAATGATTGTTCTGTTGAACCAGTACCGATAACGTCTTATTGTATTTGTAATTGAAGTCAATTCTGAAGTGGCATGATTCCTAACAGCTAGCGATGGTGGCCCAGATAACCCAATTGACTCATGCTCAAGTGTACATTATGCATGTGTAAGCTCAAGCTTATCTTAATCAGGGTGGTTTAGTCTAGTTGAGCTAGTGATTTCAGGTCTAGTTGAAGCTGCCTTGACTAATGGTGAAGCCCCTAGCTAGTGCTAAGAACATCATGCATCTCTATCATTTTCATTTTCTTCTGTGCTAATTGATGGTAGTTGAACAGAGGTAACAAAATCAAGAAAAACTGGTCTGATAAGGCCTGCGGGCATTGATGGGCAAATATTCAATCAACTTTTTGAGATTCTAAGTTTTGTCCATTTACAAGAACCTCTTTTTTTTCCAATTTCTACACACAGTAAGTTGTAACATACAAATGAAAATCCAGAATGTGACAGTTGACACCAAGAACTTTCGGCTTTAGGTTTTCAAGAACAGAACTTGGAAGGGAGCAGGCATCTTGTCCACATAATTCACATTTGCATTATTAATGGAAAATCTAATTAGAATCCAATCAGTGGGATTTGATCTAACTAATGTCCATCAAGGATTACAATATAATTCTGTGGATCCTTAGAGAAAATGGACAATCACAATTTGTCAAAAAGATGATGATTTCCATGCAACTTTGTGTTGAATGGCCACCATGGTCGTGGTCCTAGTTGGAAAAGGATTCGAGTTATTGAGCTGTTGGGTTGATTTATAAATTGTCGGGTCAAATCAATATATTGTTTTTATCCAAAACAATATTATTATAGCTTTTTATTTTTATTTTTTTAATATTTATCATGATATAATTTGAATAAAATTTAGGTAAAATAATTATATCATAAATCATCTTAGTTGAGTGAGTTTAATTAGATAAAAAAAAAATTAAAACAATACTAGTATAGCTATTTTATTCAAAATAGCTATAAAAGAATCTACTGTATTTATCCATAACAACATCATTAAAGCTATTTTACTTGTTTTCTAATTTTGAGTTTTTTTATAAAAAAAAAAAATAATGTCATATTTTTTATTTTTCAAAGAGTATTTTAAATAATTTTTTATTTAAAAAATATTAAATTAATATTTTAGATATTTTATTATTATTATTATTTCACCATATGAATGTTAGAAATAAATAACAATTATAAAAAAAATATTTTAATATATTTTTAATTAAAAAATAATTTAAAAAAACACTATGCATTATCATGATAGCTATGATTGACCTAGCTTTGATTCTCCATGAGTAAGGAGAAAGCTTGATATAATAATATTATGACAAGTTTAATTAAATGCTTAATTATATCTTCCATAATTCTTTCTTTCTATTTGTCAATGTGAAGTTAAGAGATTAAGAAGGGTTTAGGCACACCAACCAGGGTAGTACCTCATCAATAATTTGAAAAATTGAAAAGTAATATTGTTCATAAATAATTTACTAACCTCACAATTGATTTCTATTCTATCCACACCACATTAAAAAAAAAAAATTGATAGAATAAACTTAACAAGTAAACCCATGATTAGAATGAACTAGTTAAAATTCTATTTTATTTTAAAAAAATTTCTTCAAAACTATATTTTTTTTATGAATTGAGCTAATTTATCTAACATTTAACTCATGTTTTGATTTGATTCATGAATTAAATTTTAATATATATTTAATATTATGATATATAGTATTTTTTTAAAATGTTTTTAATTTAAAAATACATTAAAATAAATTTTTTTATTTTTAATAACAGAACATCAAAACCATCATAAACACTAAAAAAATACCAATTTAATAACTTTTTCAAATCAAACATATTTTTAAAATATATTCAAAAACAATTTTAAAAATAAAAACAAATATTACCGATCTATAAATCAAAATGAATGATGCTAGGTAGTACCTCAAATCAGTGGTGGGGAGAACTCGATACTCCTAATTAAGAAATCAGATTTGATAAAGACTTTAATTTTTCTATTATCAAACAACATGAAAGACCATTATTTTGAGGTTGCTTGCAAGCATGGTTCATGGTTTTTCATTTTGGGTTGTGGCCATGCTTCTGTCCAAGAGGAAAAATAAGAGAATTAAAAGGCCAAAAAAATAAATAAAAAGAAAGAGCAAGGATATGGCAATTAAAAAGAAGAATAAAAAAAAAAAATGAAAAACCTCTCCATGGCGTCTCTTTCATTTTCGAAGAGGGAGAATAATTGCGGCGTCAAATTGCCACCCACCCAAGCGTGAACAAGCCACGTAAAAGAGGGCGGCCACCTCTTGGATAAAATTGTGTTTGGTCCTTAGAAATTGACTTTTTGTCAATTCACCTCCTTAAACTTCTAACTTTTTTATCAAATTTAGGCCTTTCCCAACCACTCTCATTTACCAAGGGGGTGTTTGAGAAGGCTGTAGCTATTTTTTATTTTTAAGAAATCATTTTTAATATTAGGATATTAAAATAATTTATATTAAAATTTTAATTTTAAATAAGAAAAATCTTAATTTTCCACGAAATGTCATTTGAAACATGATTTACTTGTATAAATATCAATAGAAATTTGGACATGAGGGGGGGGGTGTGGTTTTAGGTTTTTCATCCAATTAAGTTCATTTTAGATTTGGGGATTTTTAATTATAATAAGATAGTTTTTCATAATTATAATATAATAATTAATAGATTATATAAAAATAAATATGAATTCGTGTATATGTTAAATTTTAGTATAGCTCTAATGCGTAGTTTAATATAAATAATAAAAAAAATCAAATAAAAACTATAAATTCACTGTAAATCATAAGTAAGGTCCACAACTTACAAGGGTCAAATTGTTAAGAAATAAAGTAGAAAGGCTGATTTAGAAAAGTACTAGACATTGAGGGATTGTGTCCTCAAAAGTGGTTCGTTCCCATTTAACGCGTGCAAGGACACGCTGGTCTCCATTCAAAAACCGAAGCAAAGAGAAAGAGAGGAAAGATTCCCACTTTGGCTTCTCCTCTTCTTCTTCCATACCTTTTAACTTCCTCTCCCTGTACTGTCGGCCTTTGTTGGTTTCTAAGCCGCCATACAAAGAAATATTCAGTTGTTCTCTGAGAGAAAGAGAAGTATAAGTTTTTGTTTCATTAGAGAGAGAGTGCAAAAACATGAATGAGAAGGCTAATGTTTCGAAAGAACTTAATGCAAAGCACAGAAAGGTCTCTTCTTTAGTTTCTTTTCTCTCTGTGTTGATGTCTTGCTTCTTTTTCTTTGTTGGGTTTGGAATTATAACTTTTTTCTTAGATAAAGTCTCTGTCTTGTATTTGTTTTTAGATTCATTTTAGTAAAAGTTCATTTGGTTTGCTTATGTTTTACTAGATCTTATGTGTCTTGGTCATTTACAGGAAAGGCATGGTTATATTTAATCTGTTTTTTTCATTGCACTTGTCTGAAATTACGTTCTTTTTCCACAATTTGAATTGGTTTTTCTTCAAATTAAAAACATGGAATGAAATCTGTTTTGAGTTGTCTTAGTTTCTTTTGTTTTTGGATTGTTTTTACATTGAATGTTTTGTTAATCATGTATGCTAAAAAATGAGCCAATAAAGAAAGAAACTTTTTAAAAAATCATAACATAGCTGTCGAAAGTTTATGGTCGTGCGGAGGCTGACTAAAATTAAAGGGTCATGCTGTCTGTAACTAGACAACTGTTGCTGAGTTGTTGGTTTTTGCATTATGGATTTTGTGCAATGAACACCTGTGGGGCTGTGTTTCTTTCCTCTTTTTCTTTTTTTGTTAGATATCATATCCATGTTGTGTGGTATTTGGAATTAGTTGTAGTTTGCTGTACAGTTGTAGACTCTTATTTTATTGAAGTTGTTAGTGTTCTATCCACCTGCCTCATGCCATTAGCATAGAAGTCAATGATAATTTTTACAAATTGAAAAAGTTGATAAAAGTAAGATGCTTACAAATTAATAAAGTCAATGATAATTTTCGAAATATAATGTGGACTGTTCTCCGCAAAATCCAAAGCAAAGCTCTGCGATTGTTGCTTCAACTTCTCTTTAACAGCAGGCATTATGGCCTTACAGATAACTTTCTTGGATTTATTAACTCGGATTCTGTTTTCTTTAGCTTGTGATTTAAAATGAAATTCTCTTTTGTGGTTATTTTGATTGCAGATACTGGAAAGCCTCCTTAAATTACCGGAGAATCGAGAGTGCGCTGACTGCAAAAGCAAGTAGGTATCTAAGCGCAGTACATATTGTGTATAAGAAACAATGCAGGTTTTCAAAGTGCTGACCTTTTTCTTGTTACGCCAATGTTCCTATCAGGAACTGGCTTTTTAGTAGTATACTGCAATATATGGGTTCGAGGATTTATGATTTGCAATGCTGTCTCATTTTCTATACAGAGGGCCTAGATGGGCTAGTGTGAATCTAGGAATCTTCATATGCATGCAGTGTTCAGGTATCCACAGGAGTCTTGGAGTACATATATCAAAGGTGGAGCATTTTATTCCATTAAAATCATGTATATCTTCTCTTTTTTTTCAAGTGAAGAGTGATGCCCATCCCGAGATTCAGTTTGCAACTATTCATGCATACATCTACAATGTGCTTATTCAGCTCCTTTATGTCCCTGACACAGGTTAGATCAGCCACTTTAGACACATGGCTTCCAGAGCAGATTGCATTTGTCCAATGTAAGCATGATTTTTAATTCTCTAAATTGTTTACCTTTTGATTTTTCCAAGTTGCATCTGAGATCAGGTTTTTGTTTCTTGTTTTCCACAGCTACGGGGAATGAGAGATCAAATAACTACTGGGAAGCAGAGTTGCCTCCTAATTATGACAGAGTTGGCATCGAGAATTTCATTCGAGCAAAGTATGAATTTTTCACACTGCTTTGTCCATATCATTAGTTTTCTACCTGATGTTGAACTTAAGGATGCTTATGTTATATGTTAGATATGAAGAGAAGAGATGGGTTCCAAGGGATGGAAAAGCCAAATCACCTTTGAGGGTGAGTGGAGAGCGGACCTCAATTTATAGACCAGAACCAAGAAGTAGTGGGCATGGCCGAGTGAATGACACTAACCATGGTTCTGAGGAGAGAAGAATTACTCGTCCACCCATTACAAATGACAGTAATCCTGCTTTGAGAAGCTCCACTCCGGCTCCTATTAAAGCTTCCACACCACTGCCTGTTAAAGCATCCACTCCAATGCCTGTTAAAGCATCTCAACCGGTAGGTACATTTTTGCTTCCTCTTTGCCTTTTTTCCACATGCAACAGTCCATTTCCCTTCTCCCTTCCAGTACCATTTCAATTAAGTGTATATATTATGTATGAACCAAACAAAGGAAAATCATAATACACACATGTCAAGGTATTTATAGCGCGCATATATTTTGCTTTGCATGTCCCTACTGTTAAGAGTTTTGTGCAATAATTAAAATCGATGCAAGTTGTTAAACTGGGGTTGCATTTCTTTTATTATTATTATTTTGAGTGCTGAGAAGGTAGGGACATTTTGCAGACGTATTGGGAAACAACTATTTGTCCAATTTCTTGAGATCTCGTGAAAATATATAAAGATTAAAAAAATTAGGAAGATAATTTGTATCGATTATCAACGGATTGATACAGTTATGAACAGTTGATTCCATTTGGGGTTTAATTGAAGAACCATCTGATTGTTAGAGGTCTGACCAGTCAATTGCAGTAGAGTTGGAGAGGAATGGCCTATCGTGCTTTTCCTTGTGTGTCATCATGTCTGTTTAACATGCACGGTAATGTGTTGCTTTGGCTGCTAGCCCTGCATTCAACTAAACTAACAGACTGTGCAAACAGGCGGCACGTGATACCAAACCACAAGAACCTGTACGGAAGTCAGCACCAGCAGCCCCAAAAGTTGAATTAGAAAAGAAGGAAGAAAGTGCAACTAAAGTTGTAACACCGCCAAAAGTTGATTATGCAACTGAACTTTTTAATTTGCTTTGCATGGATGATTCTAGGGAGAGTAATTCCACGACTCCTGCTCATGATATTGGATGGACCGGTTTAAAAGGTGAGTTTTTGCTCCTGATAATTTTATATAAGAAATTATCGACATTGAGATGCTCTTTTCCCATTTTTTCCTGGTTTCCCAGTTCCATAATTGTCAAAGAATCTTGCAGCTGCTGAAGTAAAATCAACACCAGAGAGAAGTGTTACATCAAATTTTATTGAAAGCATGACACAACCAAACTCAACTTCACCTCCTTTAGAGAAACCCCTAAAGGATTCAAATAATGATCCTATGAACCTCTTCAACAAGGTATGTATTGTGAAAAAAATGTCTGCATTGAAAAATTTTAGAAGCATGATTAAATGTGGACAGGGTATTGTGGAAGAAAAAAGATTCAATTCGGTGATCATATGATAAAAAGTTGTGAAGAGCTGTGTGTGAGTGTGAGTGTGCATCACAAAGCTATCATGGCAGAGGATTATAAGCAACACTATTTTTTGGTCATCTATGGCATATATGTTAGCTTCACAATTGGCTGTTCTGACTAGAAAATAGGGGTGAAGGTGTCTTTGTAATTTTTTGTTAAGACAGATCGCTAGTAAAGTTTCAGTGTCCCTAGTTTTATATCATTTGATAAAATGGAATATGGAAGGTGGCATTATGGCATCTTTGATGACAACAGTCCATTTGTGCCATTAGTAATTTTCTTCTAGTCCTTTTCTTGCGTAAAAGTGATTCATGTTCATCTTACCATTTTGTTTGTGGATTATGCACAGTCCAGTATGGTTTCTCCATTTTCCGTCCATCAACAGCAACTTTCAATGTTATCCCAACAACAACAATTCCACATGACTGCTGCAGCAAGGACTGGTGGTGGATCCCAAACTGTTCCTGCCAATGCACATAGACCCAGTTCCAATGGTATTCACTTACCTGCTCAGAGTTGGGGAAGCTATGGCTATCAAGTTCCTGGGATGGTGATGCCAAGCACTTATCCACAGACATATATTCAGGTTGAGCTTTGAAGTGATTTCCCCATACCTTTTTATTTTAAAACTCGATCTCTCATCTATTATTGTTTTCTCGCACCAGATGGGAAGCAGCCAACAAACCTATTCAGCAGGGAATTCAATTAATTTTCCAATATCAAGGTAGAAAATGAGGACTCTGGTGCAGTCATTTATTTATTGCTGAATTCTTTTTTAGTGCATAAATCCCAAGTATAGATCTTTCTGCGTTTGGTTCTTAGAGCATTATGTTTCCAAATTCAAGTTCTCAAGTTATTTTAAGTGATGAAATCAGCTAGTTAACAGTTTAGAGTTGACATAGGCAACACTGAGAGTGGTCAAAACCTGAAGCAAAACAATCATGTTGCCACAGAATGAGGGTTATGCCCTCCGGTTGAAGTATCAGTGGCCCCATCTTTCATGGCTAACAGATTGGAGAAGAAACACAACCTATTTCCCAGCATGCAGTCCAGAATAAAGTTCGGATTTGGTTACGAAGCATGCAATGCATTCCATTGACCATCATAGCATTAAAATGTGGCTGTAAAGTTACCTTTCGCAAGTAGCCTGATGAAACTGGAAAGTCTTGAAAAACCTATCGTTGTAGGTATAGATGTTGGCATTCTTTAATCTTTCATTCAAAGAAAAATGCCTGTTAAATGGGTCTGATACTTGCATGTTTTGTAAGGTCTGGTTTGCCTCGGACACTTGAAAATTAATTCTTGTGAATTATATGCAGCACTTATAGGCCAGGGCCAGTAGCTCCTATCAATGGCATGACAAACTCTAATCCAACTATGCCTCCTCCAGCATTCCCTGTTGCTCCAACTCAGCCCGCAGGATACTTCGATCTCTCATCATTGGCACAAGGGATGTATACAAAGCGGTGATGGATTGCCTCGACATTCGTTCTCACATAAAATCTGTTAAATCATAGGAAAATTCTCTTTCGTATTAATTGGCATGAACTCTTCCAATTTCTTGTTGGGGGTCACTGCTGTGGTTTGTATTTATTTGTATTGTTGTCATCATTGGTTTAGTAAAGTCGGTTCATATTGAATAACTTGTTTTATGATCTCCTGCCATTTCTTACATCAAGGTTCCCAAACTCCTGCAGTTGGTTAACATGCTCGGATTTGGAATCATAAAGCAACCTCCGGACCTGCGTACATGCTTGAATGGCACTCAACTCTGACAGGAACTTGAGCTTTCGACTTTCTAGTCAGTTTCTAATTGGCTATGGAAACCTTTTTTTTCAGAAATGGAATATGAATTTACCAGAAAAGTATCAGTCCTTTTTCTTTAAGTCTTCCATGCTGGTTCCCGAGCATGTATCCATTTCCAATCCCAAACTTCGTTCAAGAAAGACCAATTCTTCGGCAAGCTCTGTAAGAAAGAAACAGAGAGTTTGACATGGGCTTCTGGGTCCATTTAACATGATGATCTCTGCCTCGTTTCATCCATTGTTTCATCATCTAACCCACAGCCCATTAGGCTAGCCCCATTAGTCGTTTCTTCTTTCTCGTTTTCCACTCCATTTCCAGTTTTCCACACGGTTTCCATCTCTCCTCGATTCAAGGATCTTGACAAGTTATCTAGGGTTTACAAATTGTATCACTTCTCGCATACAAACCGATCCACAATCTCTTCTGCCACACGGTATTGAACCGAAAGCAGCACTCTCTTTTTCTTTTTTATCCTTCGGATTGCTGCATGACTGCATCTTTTTTTTTATCATGTAGATTCCTGCTAAACATTTGAAGAGGTCATGGGCATGCATCTCTTTAAATTCAGTGCCATGCATGATCACGGTAATGAACGTTCAATGGCAAAGAAATGTGTGACATAACGGGGCAAACAACACTAAAAACATTTTCCCTTGAAGAAAACGAACTGCTGATAACTTGCGATTATAAAATCAATTTTACCAGAATCTAGCCATGCCCACAACCTAATACATCACAATTTTTCAATTTTGATGCATATATTTGATTTGTTAGATGTTAACTCTTTTACGTAAGTTGTTTATTATATAAGAATGCACAGATAAAGGAACACAAGATTTTCAGCTGTAGTAGTTAGCAAATCCTTGAAATTCTCATTGCTAACCACATCTTCAACTAATCATCCAATTAATTAATTAGATAACCTAATGATATGTTTCATAAAAAATAATCTAGGATTTGACTCTAGAAAAATTTATATATTCATCATCTTAACTTAAAAAATTTAACTGACTTGAATAAAAATCATTTAAACTTGAAATTTGTACTAACCCGCCACTTTAACCTATGATTTAACTTAAAATTTTAAGTTTAATTTTATCAAATAAGATAAAAATAAAATAAAAATAACAAGATTCGAACTCATAACTATTTATTTTTGTTATTATAATAAAAAATATCTCAACACGAGTTTAAGCTGGTAGGTGATATTTTAAAATATAATTTATATTATTATTTAACAAAGAATATATTCTTTGAATGTTATAATTTACTAAAGTTATATTTTACCAAGAAATATTATTGTAAAACTCAATTTAATCTACAACTTGACTCAAGATCCAAGTTATGAATTGAGCTAGTAAACCTGTGAATCAACGAGTTGGCTTGGATCTATTTGGGTTTTTTTTATTAAAATAATATTTTTTTGGATAAAAAAAAGAATAAAAATAATTTTTTTAAAATAAAAAATATTAATTAAATCTTTTTTGAATTTTGATTAGATCATTTATTTGGATCAAATCAATTGAATTTTATCAGGTGAACTTATGAAAAGATTCAAAACCAAAACTAACATGGCTTAATCTCAGAGACGGTTTGTTAACTATATCAAGAAATATAAAAACTTCATATCTATAGAAAAAAAGGAACAAAAATAAAATAAAAAAGAAGAGGCAAAATTCTTCCATGTAGAATATCCAGACAAAGACCAGGAAGAAGATTCTCCCTCGAGAAGTTGGGTTTACAGCTGGCATCCACTCGACAAAAGGGCGGTGCGTAGAGATTAAGGATTTTGGACTTTACATTGAAAAAGCACCAAACCGTTTCGTTATCCTTATTTCTCTATTACGTCATCGTATTACTCGCTGTTGACCACTTAACCTCTCTTGTGTTTTCTTAACGAGATCGTCATCGTCCCCATTAATCCACAATTCATGGAGATTAACACCCAATTAGAAGAAGGTTCTAGCTGAGACAACGCACCAAAACTAAATTAATTATGCTTGAACTATACCATTAACACCCTTCATCTTGTTAGTTTTAGTTTTAAAGATCACCCCATTTGGTGTCATGATAAAAAAATATTTTTTATTTAAAAATATATTAAAATAATATTTATATTTTTAATATACTATATTAAAATTAATAAAATATACTTTTAAATTGCTTGCAAGATGATTTACTTGGTTTTGTAAGTTTCATGTATACGAATAAATTAGACAAGCTATAATATCCTAATCATTTGTGATATTCTACTCATGTTTATAAAGAAAATAATTACACAATTATTTACTAGGTAATTTAATGATAAGAGTTTGAAATTAAAAAAATTGTTTTTTTATAATTTTAAGTTTAAATTTTATAGTTATTAATATAATAATCAAAAAATTTATATAATCGTTTATTTTTAGAGCTAGTAAAATTAATTAAGATTATCACAAATTCACTAAATACTCACATTAATAAATAAAAAAAATCATTACATTATTTTAGACAAAACAACTCCTAAATTTACCTAAACAGATAGTTCATTTGTTAGACATTAACTTTTGTCTTTCTATAGGATGATTTTATAAGCTAGTCAACCGTATCCTTTTGAAGAAAAAGACTTGCTGTCTCCAACTTGATGGACCGACCATTCATTCATTCATCTTCACCTTGTCCACATGGCCATGCCATGCTTGTCTAATGACCTTCCGAAACAATAGTAAATTAGATATGAACGGATGGTTTTACATATACTCACCATTATTTTATGTTTATTTTATTAATTTAATTTAAAAATACAATAATAAGATTTAAACTCTTGATTATTTGGTTTTTGAGATGTTAATACCATGTTAAAGAAATATATAGTCTTAAATTTGATTTTATTAATTTAATTATAAAAAATATTACTATCTAATTTGAAAATGGGGGATTTTATATTACTATCTAATTCAATTATTAGCTAACGATAAAGCTAACTTATCAGCTACTCCCTGCTAGTAGGTTTTAAACATAATTATATTCCATGATTATTTATGAAAATTCAAATCTAAAACCCAAGCCTTTAATTTAAGGATGATTATTTTTTGTTTGATTTTATTTTTATTAAAAAAATAATTAAATTTAAATTTAAAAAACTGAAATCAATTTAAACTGGCTAATTTCAGTTCGATTTAGTTGTTTAGAATAAAAACTGATTTAAATTGGTTTAGCTTGATTTTTTTAATTTGACTTGGTTTGATTTTTTTTTTAGTTTGTGTTGTTTTTTTTTGTTTTTTCAGTTTGGATTCAATTCGGTTTGGTTTTTTCGGTTTCAGGTTTATAAAACAAAAACCGGATAGAACCAATCAATTGTTTCAAAATTTTAATCTGTTTTTTTCATGGTTCTGTTTCTTCAGTTATCTTTTTATTTTTTTAGTTTAATCAATTTTTAAGTTCCTTTCCTCACCTTTACTCTAGCTAGTTCGAAATGGTTATTATCGTTAGCTCTCTCTAATGTCTATTAAAATACTAGAAAATTTATTTTTATATTATAAAAGTATTTTTTAAAAAAATCTAAATATTTTTTTAATTAATTTTTTTTTATGTTTTACATCATTTTAATATATTAAAATTAAAAAATAACATTTTAATATATTTTTAAATTAAAAACATCTGAAAAAACAAATATTACTCCAAATATACCACGCAACACGAATATTCTAAACCCCAGGACGTGGAAGCACATGCCTGGCTTTCCCCGTGTGTGTGTATTTCTTAAGTCAATATTCGTCAACAATCCTGTAGTAAAGTAATATGTAATGAGAAAATAATATAATGTGCAATATTTAGTGTTGCAATAGCATCGTTTTACTATTATTATTAATAATAATTAATCTTGTTTATGCTTAAACTATGATGCAAATGTGAGGTCACCATGAGATTATGCTTCTTACATCTTTTCAGTTTTCGGTCATATTGAATGGGATGATATTCCTAGAACACTAATGACTTGGCCTAATTAAGTAGAAATTTAATAATTAATTGACAATTACACAATTATAATGATTATGGGCATTGCATTTAGAAATCTTTCAAAGAAAATCTGTAGTACCACCGTCCAATGTTGTGGTCAAGTACGTGTGGAATTAATTACTTTACCAGGAAGGGTACGATCAGCCCTGTTATGAAGACCAAGCCGGCCCGGAGATTGACCGGCGCTATGGCTGTGTGAGAGCACCGGAAATTTCCGGGACAAGTAGACTGACAGGACGTTATTTCAGTTTTATTTAGCAGATCAAACATTGACTGCCTGATCCTTTTAGTGGGACCTTGCCCGATCCTTTCAGTTCTTATTCACAGGTAATTGCTTGCCTTCCCGGCCATGGGCGATGAATTTTGCCTAGATTTTCTTTCTTCCCGTGTTTGACGTCAGAGGTCATCGGATCCCTTTTTTCTGTGGGTAGAATACGTTACATGGAGCCTGAAAGTCCTGTTAAAAAGTAAATTAAATAATAAAAATAAAATTTGAGATTATAATCTAACCATATCAAAATAAGGATTAACAGGGTTATATAGTATTTATGATTATTTGTTTTTTTCTTACACTCCTTTAAATTCAAATAAACAATCTGAATATTT